CTTGTCTTGCTAATACTTTGAGTCCCACTTGCGACAAATTGGTTATTACTATTGCTGGAGATAAAATTAGTAATGTCATTGAGGGGTGAGCTTTTGTGGTTTATTTGTTCTTGTCCCCTTTCAACAGAGTCATCTTGCAGCTGAGTTTGAATACCTGAAAAAATAACAGTCATTCAATGCTTACAGGAAACCAATAAGATACAAAATATAATCTGTCTAACCTTATACTGTACCTGAATCAGGGATAAATTGTGAACTTGGCTTGCTACTTTGAGTCCCACTTGCGACAAATTGGTAATTGCCATTGCTCGAGATAGAATTAGTAATGTCTTTGAAGGGTGAGCTTTTAGGGGTGATTTGTTCATGTCTCCTTTCAACAGGTTGCACATCTAATTCAAAATCCGTGTCAGTAATGACTAGCTCAGGTAATGGTCTAGAGTTAAGTTCTCCTGCTCCAGATGAGTTACTACCTGAAATAAGTTTTGTCATTCAAATTGAGGCAAGCATTCTAATATGAGTTGGCAAAAATTTACATCACTAGTTGTAGTTTTCATAAGACGAATTCCATTTTAGAAATCTGTCTTTAACTTAAATGTATCTTGTGATAAGATGTGAAACACTTACTGCTGCTGACGATAGTTGATGATGCTTTCCGAGCCATGAATTTTGGAGGGATAGGATTCAAACCTTAATGGATACAGCGATTTAACTCATGAAACAATAATTCCAAAATGAAACACCGTTTAAGATAGTAAAGGGGATTTATACTATACCTTCAGCCAATCTTTTATAGTATTCGTCCAAAGCATTTTGAGCATGTCGTTTGGCCAAAAAGTTCATCTTGGACCACTCAGTAGGTGTGAGAAATGACTTCAGTAGAGAAAAATCATCTTCCTCAACAGTGCGGGATGTTTCCTGGAAATGGAAAGGAAGGACAATTTTAAAAATAAAATTATAGTAGTAAAATCCATTTTAGAGCCTACTCAGGAGACATTTCTTTTCCATAAAAAATAGAATCAAATAACACAACTTACAACAGTATCCGGGCTTGATATAGAAGCTTGGGGGATCATCTTACTCTTAGTTTCAAGTCGGGCACTAAACCGTTTTGTTGGAGCTGTAATGGTAACAGTAAGTACATGACAAATTCATAAAATTTTTAACCTTAAGATCATAGGCTGAACTGTTTTTCAAAGCATTACTAACGTTCTGTTGCTGTTTTAGCTCTTTTGGTAGGAGGTTTAGCACTGTTGTCATCCACAATTTTTTTTCTTTTATTGTCTTTCTTTACATTCTCCTCTAATTGTTCCGAGTGCCTTCTGATAAAGTATGGAGGTCTTATTGTAAGTGGAGGAGGTTCTCCATTTTCTGTAAAGATGGGTTATAGTTATTTTATCAAATAAGCAAATGAAAAAGGACATAAATATTACAGGACTTACCACTACAGTTATAAGTTGACGTGAAATGGTCATATTTTTTTTTCTGACCTAAGAAGATTTTTTTTGTCAAATTTTGAAAGCTCAGAAAACTCAGCAGGGTCAAAATATTCTTGAATTGCAGAAAAATCCTCCTCTTCATCAGAGTCATCACTGGAATTTTCCTTCTCACTTTCACTGCTAAAGCTGAACGGACCGCTTTCAATTTTCTCAGGTTTATCCATTTTTTCCGTGAACTAATTCAAAAAGTGAAGATCAAATTAGTGTGATATCATGGACATATGTAAAACAATGAGCCGACATATTGGCAAAGGCAAGAAGATATCGCCAATCGCCTACAATTTCGCCCCATAATAACCTCTAGAACTCATGACCCTGCCATGTTGAGGAAACAGAGTAATAATTCCCAGTGAGCAATCATCAATCAAAATTACATCAAAATGACGCAAAGTGGTCACAATTTCGTAAAAACTGGGACCCTTTTAAATCAAAATTTCGTCATTGACGTCAGATTGCCATCAAATTGCTCGCTGGGTTAACGGGTTAACAAAGACAAAGTCTATGTGACACATTCAGTGACGTCTGGCCACACTTAACTGTTTTTTTTTAACCAGTAAAAGATATTTTTGTGTTAGGCTTCTATTTTTTTGAACTTACTGATTTTCTTAAAATCTCCAAATGTTCCTCAACTGCGATTTCAGATTTCAACCTCTCCTCAATTTTTTAGGCACAAAGCACCTCTGAGCTGATACCCGCCCTTTGAGCAGGAAAACGGAAACCTTTACGAGGCTAGCCAACGCCAACACTGTTTTGCTTTTCTAAAACCTTCCAGATCTTGCTTGGTGCGTTGTTCATTAAATCTCTCCACATATAAAAGTTTCATAATATTATTCATTCATTAGAAAAGCTAAAACTAATGTGGTAAACTCATGATTATTTTCATAATTTTCATTTCTATTTATTTGTACTCTTTTTTCTCTCTCTGCTGTCTTCTATTGCCCTCTCTTTCACCTGCTTTCACGCACACACAGCCAGCCGGTGGTTCGTTCCACGTTTTGGGGAATACTAGGTGGTTGGTCTCCTGTCAACAAATAGGCTGTAGAAAGTAGGAAACCGCAAACCTGGCAAACTCTCACACAAGTTAGTACTTGGTATTTGTATTTTGTTAACTCTGTACCTGTCAGGCTTATCTCGATAACTAATTTCCACCTTTCCTGTACCTTTCAGTAAAATAAAGAAAAGGAGTATACTTGTGCGTAGTATCGTCGTGAGGTCCACCAAAAGTTTGGTGTAGGTGTGGTTTTCTCAGGATTTAGCCTTGAAAATTAAAATCTGTAACCTAAAAATTTCCCTGCATTTTTCCTTTGTTCAACAGATCCAGCCACGCATCTGATCATCATACTGTCATACTTTAACTCTGTGAATTTTCCCAAAGGTGCGCTGTTGTGATAGTGTGATTATTTGGAGTTGAACTGATCATACTTACGTATATCTGATGGATATGTATATGACTAGAAGGTCCATGTTACTCTTCATAACAATTTCATCAATATGTCATCTGTAAAGCATTGGCAGGTAGTGTTCCTCCAAATTACTTGAACTTACTTTATATTGACTTAGCTAATAATCTTTTAAAATTAGTCAAATCATTTCGGGGTATGTACCTTTGACGGTAGATAGATTAAACTACTTAATCGAGTCCAAACCATCTCTTAAATTTCAAATTTCTTAACATGTTGTTTGTAAGTAATGTTTGTCATGAATAACTTGATTACCTTCTAAAGTGCCTGCCTGCTCATGAAATGAAAATCAAAATAACTAATATTTTATGGACTTGATTCAGTAGTTTGTCACACTTACTTTCAAAACAAAATTATTTTGCACACAACTCTGCTGTTTTTTCTGAGATTAGTAGCTAGAGAAACTACAAAGTCCCCTGAATCATTGTTCGGCATTTGTATTTAAAATCTAAAAACTGAAGTGAGATTTGTTTTTAACTCTCCTCTATTAATTCTAATTTACAGCTCTCATCTACCATCATATATTAATGGAATGGCATTATGTAGTTCATTTTTTTGGCCTGTTGACTTGCCTGCACTTCATGATTATTAAAATTGCCAACTACAGAGACCCTGATGTAAACATATTTCATTGTCATAGAAGTTTTGTTTTCCCTGCTGCAACTGAAATTAATAAGTAAGTTAGTTAATTTAATGTTTATAACTAGGAATTATTTGAATTTTGTTTTAAATTTTAAATTCTTATTTTGTTTTAGTTAACTACAATGGGAGTTTCAGTGGAGGTGTGGCGGGCTCGCATTGGATCATACAACAAGGCGGGGCGTTCCTCTCTCTCATCAGCTCCTATACTTAGTCGCTGTGCTAGTTTGGGAGGTACATGTGTCTTGTCTCTGGCTCTGATCAATATACTTTTGCTCATTGGATGCATTGAAGCCAACCCAGGACCCGATTCATTTGAAGGAAAATGTGAAATTTGTGGTGTTACTTACTATTCAGCTACCAACTATGCCAATCATCAAAGTGTTCACTTCTCAAATAACAAGACTTTCACATTCTCATGCCCTGAATGCGACTGGACTTGTCACAGTGCTTCAGGTTATCTTACTCATCATTATAGATTTCATAACAATGACTCTAATCAGGCCGCAGGTCCTGCAAATGATCAAATGATTCCAGCATCAGATGTATTGTCTGATGTCCTGCTTGATGCTGATTACAGATGTTCAGAGCCAACCTGTCAAAAGGCATGCAGAACTCTTAAGGAATTGAGGAATCACACTGAAAGTCACATTAAATCTGGATTTGCTATGAGGTGTCCCTTTGTTACAACATGCGAAAATAATGTTTTTACCAAAGTTTCAACTTTTAGGGTTCATTGCAGTCAGTACCATCCAAATGTTGCAACCAATAAAGATAAGGTAACATATCAAATTAATGCTGCTGGCTCTATTGCATTCAGTGACGACGTTGATGACAGTGATGCTCACTTTTCAAGTGAAGAAGAAAGTGAAGAAGAAAGTGAAGAGGAAAGTGAAGAGGAAAGTGAAGAGGAAAGTGAAGAGGAAAGTGTAGAGAAAAATGAAGAGGAAAGGGAAGTGGAAAGTGATGATGATATCTTCTTTGACTGTCAGGCTCCCCCTCCCCATGACAATGTTTATCCGGAGAACCACGTCAGACATCATGTTGGAAAATTTTATTTATGGCTTGAGGGTGTGCTTCTAATTCCTGCAACCAAAATCCAGTTAATATCTGAAGAAATTGCCTTATTATGTGAAATGTCTCATCACAGGATAAAAGTAAATCTGAAGGAACAGCTTATGAGAGAAGGAATAGAAGCAACTAGATCAGACAAGATTATTGATACTGCTCTCAAAAAGGATACTATTTGGGCAACTCACCACACTTGTGCACAGATCACATGCGCAAGAAATTTTATCGAGAGAGATGTGCATATTTAGATTCAGAAGAAATATCTCTAGGTTGTAATGACGCTGGAAAAAAGAAGTTTGCGCATTACATACCAGTCAAAAGTACTTTGAAGGTAATGTTTAATGACCCTACAGTGCAAGAACAAATAGAAGAATCCTTTCAACGGGTTAGTACTCCAGGTTTCTATGAAGACTATACTGATGGTTCGGCATTCAGAGAACATCCTGTATGTGGGTTGATGAAGACTATTCAGCTCACTTTTTATCAAGATGCCTTTGAGTTTTACCCACTAAGTCCCACTGCAGGAACTTACAAATGTATTGGATTCTATTTCTTCCTTGGAAATTTCCACCCTAATGCTAGATCAAAAGTTGATGCAATTCAACTCGCTTTGATTGTCAAGGAAAATGATTTAAGGTACTTTGGACAAGAAGCTGTTTTGAAGGCCCTTATTGATGAAATGACTGAGCTATCAACAAACGGTATCAAATATAAGGGTGAAACAATTCCTGTAGTTTTTAACAACATGTGTGGTGACAACTTAGGTCAACATACTATTGGAGGGTTCCTTGAAGCATTCAACTCTGACTATTATTGCAGATTCTGTACAGCAACAAAAGAAATGGTAAGGGAAAATCCTACCTGCACTTTACCATTTCGTACTCCTGAAGAATATGACAATATTACAGCTGAACTTCTTTCTGAAGAAAATAAACTCTATCAAAAGAAAGGCATCAAAAGGCCAAGCGAGCTGAACAAGATACCATTCTACCATGTCTGCAATGGTCAGCCGCCATGTATTTCTCACGACATTCTGGAGGGCATAGGAAAAGCAGACTTCGCCCTATTTTTACGGTACTTTGTTCAAATAAAAGATTGGATATCTATTGACATGCTCAACAGGCGTATCCAGAACTTCAAATGCAAGGGTCGTGATGCTGCCGATTCACTTGTGAAGCTGGATAAGTCATTGTCAAAGATTAGGGGTCATGCTTCTGAAGTGTGGCTTTTTATTAGAATGTTCCCCTTCCTTATTTCTGACAAAATTAAGGATCAAGAAGACCCTGTGTGGCAACTTGCACTTCTACTGAAAAAAATATGTGAGTATGTTTTTGCTCCCAAGATCTCTGAAGAAATGGCTGTTAAGCTAAAGCAATTAACATATCTGTACCTTGAACAGCGAGCAAAGATTTTTCAGAAAAATCTACAGCCGAAGCATCATTTTTTGTGCCACTATGCAGATCTTATCCCCGTTTTTGGTCCTCTGATTAGACTTTGGACAATGCGCTTTGAAAGCCGACATGTTTTTTTCAAACATGCAGCAGTAGCAGCCAACAATTTCAAGAATATAACCAAAACACTTGTCAACAAGTACATTCTTAATTTTGCATTCAAATTCACTGGAAGAATGATTCCACCGCCTATCAATTTCAGAGATGACGATATCAGCCAGATCCCAGAAGATTTGAATCCTGAAGTTGCCCAAATTTTGAGAGAAGATCCATCTTTTGACCGCATCTTGAAGTGTGTTGAAGTTAATGGCATCATGTATGAACCAAAAATGTGGCTGCTTTTGCAAAAGGTACAGCAGAACTTGCTTTATGGAGAAATTGTCTTGATCCTGTTCAATGGTCATCAAGTAAAGTATGTTATTAAGAAACACCAGGCAGAAGATTCTCTACAAGGTTATTACAGAATTCTAGGTAGAGAGGGCCTAGGCTCTATTTTGCAAGAGGACTTACCAGACTACTACCCTTTGGCATCATATCTTCATAATGGTTATCAATGTCTAAGTCTCAAACATGCAAATCCAATTATGGACTAGACCCAAGGCAACTGCTCAAAGGGATTGTCAAATTTTCCTTTCTTTTTGTTAAAGTTTCATACTGGCATACCACAAAATCATAACTTTTATTTTTATTTGGCCCCTATGAGAAATTAGGTACATCTCTGAAACACTTTTGTTGGAAAATAAAATTTTGGCTTTGCTTAACCATGTGTATGTAAGTTATATCCCAAAACATTTTCTACCAGGCAATGCTCCACCTCATGAATCTGGTTTACAAGTCTGGTTTTCAAGAAAAGGAAAGTGTCTAGCCCATGTCAGCATTGCTTTATTATCAAAACTAACAATACATTTAAAACACTTGTGTATAAAGACAAATTGAGCTATTAATTTGCATCCATCACATTCTTAAAGTGAAATTAAGCTTTCTATTGAAACAAAACACATTACAATGAAACCTCCAGCTGGTTTTTAAAAGTCAGGCAAGACTATTTTTTATCACCAAGTTTCAAACACATTGCATCTCATTAATCTACTTAGTTGCTGACATGTTAGCACATCTCTTGTGGAAAATGCTATGATTACAGATAAATTACAAACAAGCAGAAGCAGAGGAAAGAGTATGTAATGGAAGTAAACTCCAGGCATACAATAGCTGATAAAATAACATGGAGAAGAAATAATCTATAAAGTACAATCTAAATTTATAATTATTGACAGCCATAAAAAGTATATTTTCGGTCAACACATTCTCTTGGTAAAATTCTTTCAATTGCTACCCAGGAACCTGCATAGAAACCACTCCTCCTGTACTGAAGAGGACAGACAAAACTTATTCCAAACCGATCCGTAAGTGGCCCCATAATGGTGAACATTTCCTATTCAGCTGAGCAGAGGCTGGCGACTCGCAGACAATCTGAAACAGATTCCAAATAAAGTTCAATAAGGTTTTGAAAAAACAATCCAAGTATTGATATAGAGTCATAATTTGTCATTTTCAAATTGTCAAACAAAATGCTGTGTAGTAAGGTAACTTGTTAAGATTTAAAAAAACAACACTTTTTCCACTTCAAGCAAAATTTTTCAAAATAAAAAACAACAACAAACAAACAACCTTCAGATTTACACAGTTTCTTTCTTCTTTCTAAGTAACTTTGCTTCCAAGTCCAAACCCAATCCACTAATGAAATGACATACAATTAATACTTTTGATTGGGTCATTCACTGCATGTTTTGAACAGACGTACTAACGTCACTAGAGCATCCAATCAAATCTAATTGATGAGCACCACGATTGGATTATTATAAGACAAACAAGCTTGTTATAAGCCGGAAATTGATTATTTTTTCCTAATGACACCTGTTTTAGAATGTGTATTTATTTCTAACGCATGCAACTTGTACAAACCTCATTATTTAATGGACACGTTGTGAGTGGGTCACATAAGCACCTCTTGCCAGCGCTGCTTCCTATGGATGCTGGCAAACCGATGATGTGAAGACAAAAGGACCATACCTGAAACACCAACAGAAACATGAATACTAGTCCAAAACAACCAGAAAAATAACAAATAACTACCACACAAGCGAGTCAGAAAGGTGCATGGCATACATTTAATAAGCAAGATTTAGTCTTTATCATGTGAGTTAGTCACAACACTGAGAGCAACATTTTCATTTCAGTCAAAACGTAATTTGACTCTGCAAACATAGGTTATATTACGAAAAACAAAGAAATATAGCCGCCTTTAAACACAACTGGTGGTGACAGTTGCAAGCAAAGCAGTGATAACTAATAGTAAAGAAATGGGTCGAACGGTAGGTTAGGCTCTCACCTGGAGATACAGTGTGTGTCGTGTATGCACTCACGGTGAATGAACGACTATCGCAAATTTACAGGACGTTTTAAATCCGATATAAACTGCGTTGGATCACATTTCGGATAACCAGGAGCCTGAGAAACAAACCTTTCACGTTAGTTTTTACCTCACTCACAACATAAACAAGCTGACCGAGGAAGGGGAGCGGAGAGGAGGAGAGGGGTGAGTGGGCGCGCGCTCTGGTGGCGGTAAGGTGCGATACAGGAAAGAGAGGAAAGGAGGTGGTTGGTGGTGGTTGTGTGGGGAAGGGGGAAGGGGGATGGAGGAGGAGGCTAGAAGTGTTACGAAAGTTACGAGGGGGCTGTTTAGTTGCTGCGAATAAGTAGAATTCATTTGTCTTTCCGTAACCTAGCAACAAATGTAAGTCTAAACAAACTAAAGCGAGTTTATTATTTCATTTTAGCATATGTTGGTTCTTTATTACTTTCAAAGACGGCTATGGATGTTGCGTTTGAATGCGTTGTTTTGTCGGACCCTAGCTCATCTATTGCTAAACCGTTCAAAGTTTTAAAGGGTTCAGTCTGTTTGATCACGGACTGGAAGGCTGGAGGTTAGGAGAAATGACTATGAACAACAATAAGATAAATGTGCACTTCAAGACTAGCTTGGGTGAACTATTTCAACCATGAGCTGAAGACTTAGCAAGAATGACAATAGTTTATACTTATTGGTCACATTATTCCAAGTTGAAATATGTTACCCTGCAAGGAACAAAGTAAAAGCTGTGTGGTGTAACCAAAACTCATCCAAGGATATATTTTGCATGTAAGTAGCCTTCAGTGGTGTAAAAAGATTAGGCCGAATAGTGTGACAGTGCTAATTCATGCATGAGTTATGTTTGCCGTGTATCCCTATTGGTTTCAACTGCATTGGCGTTGTTTACACAAGTTTCTGAGATGACGGGTTGAGAAGCATAGTTATACGGTGTTACCGTCATTAGTTTCCCAAAATTCTGTCTGTATAACTCTCTCACCGTACAGACCTTTCAAAGTTACCGTCACCTTTTATAAGCCGTGTGACTTTCCACATTTAATACGGAAGATCCCGGAAAATAATTAGCGGTGCTTATCCGTTATAGTTACCGTCATAATTTATTGCAGTGTGGGGATTACACTCTCATATTTACACAGGATTACGTGATGGCCTCCTCGATATAGTGTACCATATGTGGGCCACATATGCGGCACTAAATCACCTGGGTGCCCGGGCGCTGCACGTGTAATGCCCGGATTCTCACGCGGAGTGCCCTCCCGGCCTGAGCTGAGCCTGTGCACGCGCTTTGCACCCGCACCGCAGGAGCCCCGCGATTTTGCGTTTTCGCCCGTATTCTTTTTCACAGGTGTTACGCCCCTCCGCTCTCCCAAGGCTCCTCACCTCAACAAGCTGTACAAGGTAGATGGGTCATTCCATGCCAAACGTACCCCCAACAAAAAAAAGTTTTGATGAAACTTGGTGGATACGTTCCTTGAGTGGTCTGATGACCACCTGCAATAGCGTTTCGACCTTGCGCGACGGGTTGCCTACTTATCGGGGGGACAAAGTTTTCCCGCCACTGCGCACTCCACTCGATCTAGCGAGCGCCACGATCTGACTTTTTTTTTAAAACGATCAACGTCCTAGGGGGTAAGAACTGGCCCTCTTTCGAATGCGCTTGTCCATTTTCCGAAAATATTCACGCAACGTACCGAAAACTCGATTTTTAGTTTCAAAATCGGATTTTGGCCAAGTATGACACCTTTGATTTTCTTGGGAGTGGGCTCATTCGAAAGCCCGTTCAATTTCCTGTACGACCCTACTTTCGGTATCATGGGCAGACGCCTGCGAGCGACGCTACGCGGCCGAACGCAAAGCGCCCGTCGCGTCGCCTGACGCTCGAACCAACGGCGCGCGGCCGGCCCAGCCCAGCCCGGCGCGGCGCGGCTCGGCATGGCATGGCACGGCACGGCAGGCAGAGCAGGGCAGGCCAGTGCCGTGCAGCTCTGCAGTTTTGTTTGGAGTTGATCTAGCAAACCAAACAATGAAAGCTGTCGCGTTTAATCGGTGCTGCAATCCGTTTGAGGAAA